TTTGGTGCTTGTTTGTGAGCAGTCTGGGGGGTAGTCCCGTCTGAATTACATACTTATTTGGTGTCACCGGGTTTTCGTCCTACAGCGGGTTATCTCGATGGTGAGTGCTCGCAGTAGGTTTCCCGGCGGTGCTTGAACTCGCTCTCTCCTCTCCCGTCTCATTCTGTGGACCTGGATGTATTTCCGTTATGTCGCAGTAATGGAAAGGGGTTATGCCCGGTTCAAAAAAAAAAGAGTCGTGCAGTTCTAGGACAACCATACCCCTTTGATGCTCCAGCATGTTCGGGTATTCATATTTTGTACCTCACATACGCCATCTCATCTTATACATTGCTATCCCAAATTCACATATGCAGTGTCACTTTGTTTAAGCATACAATTATGAATCAATTTTGTTATTGTTGTAGATTAACCATTGTCTTTGCACAGATTGAAGCTTTGATCTGAATTAGCAGAAGTAAAAAGTTGCAGGTAAGATGCTCCGTGTGTAGTTTATATATTAAGTACCAGATGGCATTCTGTGAGATATATGTACATACATAATTATGGATATTTTCATTGCGACATGAAACCTGGTAATTTGGTAGACTATATTATGCCCCAATGCCTATAATATGACAAAATTTACGTACAGTTATTTTCTTTCAGAAAATCTGTTAGTGACGACTAACGAATGGTATTGTACAAATTGTCGACTTTGGGACGGCAAGAGTAGTATGTTCCGCTCCTCCTTACACAGATTATGTTTCCAGCAGGGTAAGTTTCTGTATGAAAAGGTCATTTTACTCTTTTGTGTATATGTACCAAAAAGGCTAAAACTGACATGTTGTTTCAAGGTATCGTGCTTCAGAGATACTACTGAAAGCTTCAGCTTACACACCTATATATTTTGCATGGCAATTGTATTTGATGATCCATGTACAGATGCCCATAGACGATTTACTATTCAGTTCTAATATGATAGTGACAAAGTTTTTTGATATATAACCGTCATTTATTACATATTAAAAGGGTTACAATTTCTTATCAGTCATCACTATATATCAAGTACATGTTTGACTCCAAAGGGTTACACTATTTTTTGACCTGCACATCTTAAGGTTATGCTGGAAATTTATGTTTATCAGAGTGATCACTATATCGGGTATATCTTTGACTCCAAAGGGTTGCAATTTGTTTGACCTACATATCCTGAGTAATGCTGGAAATTTATCTTAGATTTTCCATTAACTACAGTATGTTGATTACCCATTTGTTAAATGGCTTTTGTTGCAGGGAAATTGTTAATATCTATCTAGCATCACATATTTATTTGTTGTTTTGTTCTAAGGCCGAGCTTTGGGAAGAGAGTAAATACAAGTTATTAGATTTATGGTCTATTGTAAACTAGTGATTGGGGACCTTCAGTGCGGTATCACAATCTTCCATTACTTCTCGGTTAATCTTCCACATATTATTTATTTTTCATTTCAGTCTAAAGCCGAGCTTTAGGAAGAGAGTAAATACAAGCTATTAGATTTGTAGTCTATTGTTAATTTGGACCTTCGGTGTGGTATGACAATCTTTCAACCATTCTTGGTTAATCTTTCGTAGGTCCTTTCACCTTGAAAGGCAGAAATATATTGCTTCCATTCCTTTCCTTTCAATGGTAATCTTCATGAATAATCCCTTCCCTGTTGATGTAAAGTCCAAGACGGTCATTGGGACCTTCTAGAAATATGATGTGTATAGTGTTATATTCTGATGCAAGTTTTACTGTAACTCATGCACTACTGATTATCATGTTAGTCGTGCACTTAGTATTGTGGCAAGTAAAATAAAAATATTTCTGGCTGATCTTCTTTCATTACAACTGATCTATTTACCATGCCACATATTTTAAAATGTGTTATTATGGCATGATGTACTATCCTTTTTCTTACCTCGAGCCATTTCATGTCTACACAAATGCAACTTTTGTCTCAGTTCATTGTAGAAAAAATTACTCCAACAAGTCTCCGCGGCAATGTGCGGGGTTTCTTCTAGTTCTACTCGTACTCGGATCCAGGCCGAACAGAATTGGGCTTTAGGATCCGTGCGAGGCCCAAGTGTTGATCCCGCTACGGATGCCTATATATAGTGGAGGTGCGGCACACTCATTCGGTTGATCGCTTTGGCGCCGTCACTAAGGCTTTGCATGTGTTGCAAGTAGCCACCTCCACTCGCTGCCGGCAGTGTGATCGGAACTAGCAGTCCGCCGCATAGTGTTCCTCCTGCACGCGCGAATACCGTTAGAGGTGGTGCACTTCCGCCTTTCCGGTGAACCAGTACGTGGGATCCGATGACCAGTTGTTCGAGGAAGATCGGACGAGGTGACGATTCGCGCAGACGCACTGCCACAACTTTATTTCCGCTGCATGGCACTGCACGTCTAGTGGTAACGATCTGTGATCCATCTCTGTTAGCATGTTCCTGGATGTTCTGCGGGTAGGAAATTTTAATTTGCAGTCGTCACACCCTATCATAAATCCCAACAATTGCATGCAGGGAGGATCTTTCTTTGGTGCAAGATTTTGGCATGTTACACCTCCAAGTTGCTTTGGATTGAAACAGATGGTACATCATATACATCAAAAATCTGAAGGGGACTATGGTATTATCATTCAAGAGATTTTAGATACTTCTCATTCCTTTGCATGTTGTTATTTATCTTTTGAACCTCGAGTTGCGAATTATGAAGTTCACAAGCTAGCTAGGTATGGTGTTTCCCTCCCTGTGGGGAGGCATTTGTGGCTGGGTACAGCGCATGACCCAGTTGTAATTCCCGCAAACATTTTAGCTAATCAATAAAGGCCTAGCAATCTTTTCACAAAAAAACCAAGATTTGTCCGGCTCCATGGAGGGAGGGGCAATGATGGTGGCGCGCCTTCGGCTCGTTTAAGTTTTTGTAGCTGTCGCTATGTGATCTATGAATCTGGTTGTAATTTTTTCTAATTTCTACTATTCACTGTACTATCATGATTGATGATGAATAGATTGAAAGTTTTCCCGCAACAAAAAAACTACCAAGTGGCTCAAGAAGTAGCAAGGACCAAATCCTAGTCTATCCTATACTTCGTAATAATCATATATTCAATATCCCCCCGCAGTTACAACATTAGCGACGTAGACGAGGAGAATGGAGAAGAATCCGAAGGTAAGTCGACGGACCCCCCCCCCTAGTCGTAACGGTCAATGCAGCGCGGAAGTCGTTGCTGGAGTTGAAACCAACGAGGTTGCTCAAGCAAGGCGGTAGCCCTTTGTGCCGTTTGTCGATGTAGCCGAGAGCGTGGGTGGTGTAGCCATGATTGAGGTAGCCGTGCGAAAAATGTCGTGGTCAATGTCGAGTCGGGGTAGCCGGTGTCGAGGAAGTCGTCGTGGAGTCGCAGGCGCAAGGAGGCGCTGAGTTAGTCATGGGCATAGTGGTGTCAAAGTAGTGGTGCGCCGGAAAGAAGGTGTTGTTGACGACGCGTTGCGCCGGGTTTGTCAAGCCCCGGAACACATCGTGGATGAAGGCAAACATCGGTGTTGCCAGCACCGAGTATGTGTAGACGGACGAATGCGAAGTTGATGAAGCGTCGACCAGGCTTGTCAGGCTCGGGGACATGTCGTGGATGAAGGCACACATCGGTGTTGCCGGCACCGGGTATGCGGAGACAAGGGACCTATCATGTTAGATGAGATAGAGAGAGATTGGTGAAATCGTTGTTTGTATTGCTTAAACCTCGTGGGCATATATATATATATATATATATATATATATATATATATATATATAGTAGGTCTCCGCTTAGTGGTTTCTTACTCGGTCTCCTCATCTGAATAGATGGTCGCACGCTTCAACTAGAATCCAAACCATAGTAGAACGGGGGCTCAAAAGGAAACTTCAGAGCTGGAATATATAATCTCCAGTAGTACACTTAGCCCTTCGGCCTTATTTCAACTTGAACATGAATTTGCAGCACATTTTGGCGTTATTATATTAACATAAGCATTGAACACTGACGGCTAGCCCATACATGCAAACACAAGAAATCAAACCAAACAAAGACACTTAGCATAGGAGTAGATTGGAATCAAACTAAGACAAAGAACACCTGACATGAAAACAAATGTCTCCAGACACTTATTGAATTTAAACCAACCTTAGAAAACTAAAAAGAGTCTACGGACTCTTCTATTCTAGCGAGATGCTAGACGAATAAAGAGCACTTGCTGCTCCACCCGCAGCGCTTCCTGCCTCTCCTCCAAACCCTCTATGCGCTCTCTGGTAGCGCGAATGCGCGCTTCTTTCTTTGCAGGATCCATTGTTCGAACACTTCTCAACTGGTTGTTTAGCACTCTACGGTGCCCTTCAATCTCATTTTTCAGTTGCTCCGTTTCGGTAGAAATTGCAGAAAGCCTGTTTGCGGTTGCAGCATCCATAGCAATGCGTGCTAGTACTCAATTTCTTTGTGATGAAGTGAAGATATCTATATACCATTTATAGAGTGGTAGAGTAATAGCGTCCAATAAGAGTTTCCGAGAGTTACTTTATTCAAATTCTCTCCTTTCCAAAGCTCCACAAGGAAAAAAGAGTAATAGGACAACAATATTGCTTTCATTTATTTTGAGTTCTTTCTTTGTTGAGATGGAAATCGACGTTCTTTTGAAAAGGGCTAGGTAGTTTGTGCGCAGGCAAAACTTTTCATGAAAGGTCAAAAATAGACTTGGATTTCATGGGTTTCTTAATGACTAGTCGTTCGTTTGAAGCCTTAAGAAACCGGCAGAGAAAGCGGCAGTTTTTTTTTCGAATGACCTTATTTCGAGAATCAACTAACCGACAAATCCGTAGCCCAGGTGATTCGCTGCCTCCCTCTCGCCAAAATGGGATGAATCTTCTCATGCAGCTTTTTGATTATTCAGGGCGCAGCGAAGCCAATTTCCATCAAGGCAAGGGGGTAAATAAGGGGGAAGAGGAGTTGTACCGATAGAAAAGAGAAATGACTATAAGGAACCAACGATTCTCTCTTCTTAAACAACCTATATACTCCACACTTAACCAGCATTTGATAGATTATCCAACCCCGAGCAATCTTAGTTATTGGTGGGGGTTCGGTTTGTTAGCAGGTATTTGTTTAGTCATTCAGATAGTGACTGGCGTTTTTTTAGCTATGCATCACACACCTCATGTGGATCTAGCTTTCAACAGCATAGAACACATTATGAGAGATGTTGAAGGGGGCTGGTTGCTCCGTTATATGCATGCTAATGGGGCAAGTATGTTTCTCATTGTGGTTCACCTTCATATTTTTCGTGGTCTATATCATGCGAGTTATAGTAGTCCTAGGGAATTTGTTCGGTGTCTCGGAGTTGTCATATTCCTATTAATGATTGTGACAGCTTTTATAGGATACGTACCACCTTGGGGTCAGATGAGCTTTTGGGGAGCAACAGTAATTACAAGCTTAGCTAGCGCCATACCAGTAGTAGGAGATACCATAGTGACTTGGCTTTGGGGTGGTTTCTCCGTGGACAATGCCACCTTAAATCATTTTTTTAGTCTCCATCATTTACTCCACCTTAAATCGTTTTTTTAGTCTCCATCAAATAATCCATTGGGTGTACATTCTGAGATGGATAAAATTGCTTCTTACCCTTATTTTTATGTAAAGGATCTTGTAGGTCGGGTAGCTTCTGCTATCTTTTTTCCATTTGGATTTTTTTGCTCCTAATGTTTTGGGGCATCCCGACAATTATATGCCTGCTAATCCGATGCCCACCCCGCCTCATATTGTGCCGGAATGGTATTTCCTACCGATCCATGCCATTCTTCGCAGTATACCTGACAAAGCGGGAGGTGTAGCCGCAATAGCACTAGTTTTTATATCTCTCTTGGCTTTACCTTTTTTTAAAGAAATGTATGTGCGTAGTTCAAGTTTTCGACCGATTCACCAAGGAATATTTTGGTTGCTTTTGGCGGATTGCTTACTACTAGGTTGGATCGGATGTCAACCTGTGGAGGCACCATTTGTTACTATTAGACAAATTCCTTCTGTCTTTTTCTTCTTGTTCTTTGCCATAACGCCCATTCCAGGACGAGTTGGAAGAGGAATTCCAAAATATTACACGGATGAGACTCATCGCACCGGATCCTTTTCTCCTTTTGGCCATAGCCATATAATGAACAGGACTATTTCTCCTTTTGGCCATAGCCATAGAAGAAGCTTCTCCTCCGGAGCGGGGGGACCGCCTGACAATTACAAAGAAACCTTTAAGGGGTGGCTTTTGTGCTCGGAATATAAAGATTTCCCTGGTTTAGAGTGCAAGATAGACTCACTTGTTTCATTCCCGGAACCTGAGGAGATCCTATTCATGGTGCACACGTTCCCCCGGGACTTTTCTCTGCTCGAGATCTTGGAACCGGGGGATATCCGCAATATAATTGCTCACTCGCGCAAGCAGTGGAAGCCACCCAAAGCGGAGGGAGGGGAATCTAAGGATTCCTATAACCCTGCTTATATAGATTTTTTAAGAGCTCGTTTAGGGTTTTTCCCGGGTTTGGTACCAAATCTGGATAAACTCCTTTCGGTTCTTAAACCTGAGGAAATTCTATTTCTGGCTTTTCGCTTCCCGCGGGATGCGAACATGTTTAAATTTCCCCTAAAGAAGATCGAAGATATGATTCAAGAAGCAATGGCTAAAGAGGAGGAAAACAGAGAAAAGCCTCCGGTGGAAGGTTGTGAAGACCGTCATTTGATGGAGGAGGAAAACAGAGAAAAGCCTCCGGTGGAAGGTTGTGAAGACCGTCGTATGACGGAGGAGGAAAGGACAAAATTGCTTTAAGCATTTTCTTTCCTATGGGATAAAAAACAATGAATTGGAACTATTGAGTGGTGTAGGTATCCATCTTAGCAAATAGAGATACCGAGGCCCACCAACCTACTACTTGTTGGTTTGGTGGGGAAAGAGGAGTGGGTATGAGGGCTTCTTTCACTTTTTTAGGCTAGTTTACATCATTCCACATGATGATTTGCTAATTGTTTTATGATCCTTGACTAGCTATATAGACCCTAGGAACTTGCATGTGCTATTACTGCTGTATAAAGGAAAGGTGGCTCACGTTACCACTCTCCCCTATTCCTACAGGAAGGAAGAGTCCATCAAATGCAAGTCGCTACCAGTTTCCTATTTTGGATGAATACCATCGCACCATTTGACCTCGAAGTAATGAGTACTCAAGGAATCCTCTGGAATTCCAGTCATGATGATCAGGTACCCGGAGTACATCACCCTCATCAGGAAGAAAAGAGAGAGAAGTGGAGTAAAATGGATTCAAATGCCGCATTGCAAGTGAACAAAAGAAACTAGTGGAAATAGAAAGAGAATGAACAAGTGTATCAATTCATGAGTTAAGGAATACTATTGGGAAGATTGGGTGACTAATATCCTGAGAAAACGATCTCTTGCTTCCCTTGAAACATGCTGAGAGGACCATTTCGATTAGTGAGAAGCTCAGTTCATGGGTCATGACGACAGATCATATCATGTACCAGCGCACTGTTCTTTAGAGATCTATGTTCAGTGAACAAGAATGTAGTGAGGGGTGCTACTTTAGTGTTATTCCTAGACTGATGAAGTGAAGACTTTAGGCCTCGCTAATAGTGGACCAACTGAGAATGTTTGTTTCTCTTTTCTGTAGATATCTCAATATTCCTTGAAAGCCTTATGAATGGTGGCGAGGATGTGGAAGAGCTAGTCATATAGTCCTTGAAGCTTGATTCCTTTTATCGGTTAGCAAGGAGTTTGAAGCTTGAGTACTTTCATTCAGCTTTCGTTCCTGTGGAATGAAGTTGGTTCAGAGGTCTCAAGTAGATCTTCTCAGACAGCGAGTAATATCTCTACTACACTTTCCTTCCACTTTATGTTGAGCAAGTTCACCTGTTAGCTTTCCCGCCAAAGGACAATAAGCCAGTAATGTGAATCATCATAGTTTCTGTTTTCAGACAAGTACAACGTCCACCTTTATCATATTAGCAAATAGCTGATCTTAAGAGATCTCAAATAAGGGACATACTTTTGCATATTTCAGAATGGATCAGAATAGTCATTCAACTGATGCTTTGAAAGTATTAAACGAGGCGATATGTTTATCTGTCTTTCCTCATTGCATTCCTATACTTTCCTGCTTAGTATCAAAACCATGTGATGGTACACTATTTTTGCTATAACTTGATTTCTCTAACAACTCAATATGACTTTCTTTTTCGTGTTGAGAAACATGTTCGGATGCAACTTTCATTGAAAAATAAGCATAAAGAATTAACTGGCCAGTGGAATTTTATGAAATGAGGGCTCTCGGGAAAGCAAGACTTAAGGAAGGTAGGCAATTTCATACCAAGAAGAGCATTTAAGAACATCTCATAAGCAATTCCAAGTGGCAGAGATGACTCAAGGGACCTCGTCAGATAAGCATATCCTATGGTAAATGTGGTACCTGGTCCAGTCAACTTGGAAGTAGAAACTGACCACTAGTGGGTGTCAATTAAAAAGTCACTCTGTGGCTAACGCTTCTACTGCTATCGGCAGGGCTTAGTCTCTCGTGGTTCATTTCCACCGGAGAGCATCTGTTTGAATAATTAGTGTATATAGTTGATCACTCTAATGACAACGGATTCGATTCGCAAATTTCTCATGATAGACCGAAGGAAAGGTTAGCGACTGCTCTCCCTACGGAATCTCTAGTAGAGCCATTGCATAGCTGGCAGACACGATGGGCTCAGGGTTTCGACTGCTGTTCATTCCGATCTTAGGTCTCGCTCAGCGAATTCAGAAGGGTTGGGTCCTTTGTCAATGACTTACTTTCCTAGTAGCAGAGATGCAAGAATAACTACTTTCTTCTGCTAGGCGTTTCTTTGTTGCCAGCTGAGAAATAATACTCGTTTTTTTCAGATGAGGGGGAGTGTCTTTGTTTGTTCAACGTGCAGATCCGGGAGGAAGGGGCGGGACTTGTTGTTCGGGCAGTCTAGTTTTGTTTTTGTTTGGTGCCAGTGTCCCAGTGAAGGAAGTAGGGCTTGCTGTTCCAACAACCGCTCTCTTCTCTCTCCGCTCCCTGATGTCTTCTCTTTGTCTTCGGTATAGTATATTTTTTTTTGATTCAGATTCACTCATAACTATAAGAAGAGTGTGGGATGGAGGAATGGATTACGGAAGGAGACAGATTCCTTATAAAATGGATTAAGGTGGGTTTCGGAAGGAGCAAGGCTCGTTTCATTATCGAATATCGTGTAGAACTCACTTGCCCTGCCTTTTGCTAGGAGAGTGTAGTTCGAGCATTCTATTGTGTGCTCGATCCGTGATACGCAAAGCAATCTCCTGTTTACTATTGATCTAATGACAGTTGATTGAGACTTGCCATTGTCGTCTTTCGAAAGCGAACTCTTATCTGGTTGCACTCGGGTTCTCCTGTCGACTTGTTTTTCAATAGTAAATCAGAGGCAGTATGCCCTATTTGAAAACATGCAATGAGGGTACGAGCAACACTCCCCAAACTTGGCATGACTCATCGCCATCTTGTATTCATGATCTTACCTATATTGGTCACAAATGCATAGCATAGGATCGAGTGGATCGGCACCCAATAGGCCAGATTTTCCTATCTTTGATGTTAGAAGTGATTCCAATCTATTTTTCTATAGTGATAGTTCACACATTAGCAATTAGCACTGCCTCAAAGCAAACATAGGAACTAGGGAGTTCATCGAGAGAAAGTCCCTTTAGTTTCGTACTTCCCTGTTTCGGATTTGTATATGTCTTTAATCGCAATAGTTGTAGAGAAATCCCTCAATCACGGGACAATCTTCCAGGGCAAAGGTACTTCCAAAGCTCAGAAGGATCATCTATGCATGAAAGGAATGAAACAAATTCCATAGAAAAAATAGGAAAATCCCCACCGAGATCGGTACCTATCTAGATCCCCAGCTTCGACAACAAAACTCCTTCGCATTTTGCGACCATTCCCGCGAGGACTACGATTCGGATTATCTAATGTCATCCCCAAACAGAATTACACCTCTTAAGAGAAACTATGCCCAATATACCATTTAAAACAGATATTATTGTGGATTCCCTCTCCTTGTGGGCTGGACTCCTTTTTACATGGACAGACAGGAAAGCGGAATCTGAGAATTAGCTGGAACATACTCACCTTAGCTTTGAACGACTATATCCCCTCTTCTATCTACATATGGATATATATGGTCTTTAATAAAGGAAGATGATTTTAGCCGAGGACTAACACAGCTTCCATTTTGCAGCACATCTCTCAGTGGGAATAGCATCATCCATGACTTCAGGCACAGCTAGCTATGGGTAAGCACAAAAGGTAATGACGAGAGGGCCGTCCTATGTACCCTGAAAGAGAAACTATGTGATAGAAGCCAGCTTTCCCTCTCTTCTATCCCACCTAACCACTTCGGGTATCAGTGGCCTCGTGATCTCCATGAACAGAGATCACTACACAAAAACAACTATATGAAAAACTTGCTTGCTTCTTCGAATCTCGAAATAACAGAACATATAGAAAGTGTTTTTGTGATGA